AAAGGCAGGTGTTGTGGCTTCTCCCATTAATCTTCTGCCTCACCTGTAGTGCCAGCATACCATACAGGTGCTGGTTCAAGTTACTGCTGTTCCACTTCCAATTCAGCTCCTTGCATATAGACTGGGAAAGTAGTGGAAGATGGTTGTAGTTCTACGGCCTCTGCAATTACGTGGGAGACATGGAAGAAACTCCTGGCTCCTGGCTTCAGCTCAGCTCAGCTCTAGCCATTGTGGCCATTAAGGAATGAATCGGTAGATGCAGGCTTTCTCTCTTTCTCTCTCTTTCTCTCTCTCTCTCTGAATCTGTCTTTCCAATACAAATAAGTAAATAAATAATTGATCATCAACAATGCACATTATGGGTGATGGATTTATATCCATAATGTAAAAGAACTTCCAAAAATGAATAAGAAATAGGCATTGAAACCAATAGTTTGCAGAAGGGCATGCCAAAATGACAACAATGCCACAAAAAGATTTTCAACTTCATGAGTCACCAGGGAAACTCACATTAAAACTTAAACCAAGGTACTCTGACACACTTACTAGATTGGCTAAAATGTAAAAGCTGACTAGATCCCAAATTTGTGAACAGGTGAACTGAATGGAACTCTTGGCCATCTCTGGAAGCGGTATAAGTTGGGATGACTCCTTTCGAGCTGCACTTGGCAGTATTTACTAAAGGTAAACACAGGCCTATTCTGTGACTTGGAAATCCCAGTCGTAAGTATGCCCCCGATGCTGTGCATATATATTAACAAAATACATCAAATGCTTAGAAATAAATAAAATGAGTATGTATGAGATATCTACACAGGTAATTCAGAGGACTTTGGATAGAAATTAAAGAAATAAGTAAGCACAGGGTTGTGTAGAATTCATGGGTTGGGAGATTGTCTCATTAAGGCACCATTTCTCCCCAATCTAGAGAGTCAGTAAAATCCCAATAAAAACCGAAGTGTGTGTGTGGAAGCTGACCTCCTAAGGAAGTCAACTTTGGCCAGTGGACACCAGTAGGTGTCCCTAGAACTGTGTCCCTCCTTCTAAAGCTTGTGTCCCTGTGTCATGTCACCTAGCTCCCAGGGAGTGGACACTCAGAATAGGAAGGAACAGTAGCTTTGCACGGGAAGGTGAGGAGCAGAGGTAGCCATGGCACTTTCCCTTACCCTACTCTAGATCCCTTCATGTTCTTGGTCAAGGAGTTCACATTGCAGATGCATTGAGATGGGTGCAGGTCTGCATAGGTCATGGGCCCTGGGAATCACTCCTTTTGGAGTTTCCTCTAATACTGCCATGTTGAATAAACATCCATATACAAGCCCATTGGTTGCAGATGTGTCTTGCCAGAAAACATCTCAAACTCTTCCCAACAATGAGCCTGTGTTTTCAATGACGAGCTGGGATCATCCCTGAGGTTCCTACAGATGCCAGGGTTCTGTGGACAGACATGTGCCACCTCGGTCCAGCTCTGTGTCTCAGCAAGAGGATGGTGACAGGAAAGGCCTGTACTTAACAGAGAGCTGAGCCAGAATTGTCAGGGCCCACAATGGAGATTAATATGATGGAATTTTGAAAGTGGCAGTTAACACTTGGAATGGCGGATGTCCACAGGGCAGTAGCACAGAACTCAGTAAGCAGAAGGAGCTGGATAAGAAGGCCCAAAGCAAGTGCCAGTGGCTGCCCTCATCAGGTTCTGGAAGACTAAACTCTGCAGGTGGGCACTGGGGAGGGTCAGAGTTCATGAGAGGACCAGAGCCTAGGACTGGGTTCTTCCTCTTAACAGAAAACTCTTGGGTTTAACGGTGACAGCTGGGAACAGCAGGACATCACAGACAGGCACATAGGAGAGAGAATTGGGAGAAGGCATCCAAAAAGGGACGTGGAACTTATCTGGACAATAAGATGCTGGACTTTATGCTTGGAAGATGCTTGCAATGAAAGAATCTCAACTGAATTTGAACTGTGGTAATGCAACAAGGTGGAGGAATCCACCAGGGGTGGGAGGTTGGGGAGGGGTGGGAGGAATCCCAGTGCCTATAAAACTGTGTCACATAATGCAATGTAATCAATAAAAAAATAAAATTAATTTTTAAAAAAGGGACATTGCTGTGCCCACTTGTCTGGCTTTCTCTAGCAGGAGGCTTGCTTCTCCTGGGAGAGTCTGGGTTCAGCAGAATTGACTGCATCTCATGGGTGACATAACAACCACATTGTGGGTACCTGGTGCTTTACTGAGTTACTTCCCATAGAGGTGTCACCTGAGTGTTGATCTGAAAGCATTTCTTTTCTTTCTTTTTTTTTTCCTAAGATTTATTTATTCTTATTGGAAAGTCAGATATACAGAGAGGAGGAGAGACAGAGAAGAAGATCTTCTGTCCACTGATCCATTCCCCAAGTGGCTGTATCAGTTGGAGCTGAACCTATCTGACGGTTTTTCTGAGCCTGAAGCTTTTTATGGGTCTCTCACACCCCCACGTGGGTGCAAGGTCCCAAGGCTTTGCGTCATCTTCGACTGCTTTCCCAGACCACAAGCAGGGAGTTGGATGGGAATTGGGGCTGCCCAGATTAGAAGCAGTGCCCATATGGGATCCTAGCACATGCAAGGTGAGGACTTTGGCCACTAGGCTACCACACCGGGCCTCTGGATGCATTTCTAAGTGTGCCATGGCTTCTAGTGGATAGTCTGATGCCTATTGGGATTAGGAGTCCTGGCCCCAAGCCCTGGATTTTCTCCTGACCTGTTGGGTGAATGCTTTAGATTGCTGGAGTGCCAATACATTTCCACACACTGGGAAGCATGAAACAGAACTTGCGGTGAATACCATGGTGCAGAGGGTTAAGTCACCACTCGAGATGCCTGCATTCTGTAATGAGGTGCTTGGGATTGGCAAGTCCTGCCTCTGTCTTTTCCTATCCAGTCTCCTGTGAATGTGCCTGGGACAGTAGAAGATGGCTCAAGTACTTGGATTCCTGCCACCCACATGGGAGACCTGCACTGAGTTCCTGGCTCCTCACTTTGGCTTAGCCCTGCCCTGGCTTGCTGCATGCTTTGGGAAGTGAAATGGTAGATGGAGGATCTCCCTCTTTCTGTGTCTCTCTCTCCCTTTCTGTCATGTACCCTTTCAAATAAATAATAAATCTTCAAAATAATTCTCTTTAAAAATGATTCTATCACAGTTCTGGAGGCCAACGGTCCAAACTCAGCTATTCTGCTTACAGTCCAGTTCCCTGCCAATACATCTGGGAAGGCATCAGGGGACAGCTTATGTTCCTGCCTCCACATCATGAATCTGGATGAGGCTTTGGGTTTCTTGATGTTGGCTGGGGCCAACAGATGGAGGGTCTGTTTCTTTCCCTCTGTGTACCTCTTATTTCCAAGAGAAATTTTTTTTTAAAAATTTGATGATGAAGAGTTTTGGTGTTCCCTTAAATTTTGCTGTTAGTCATGCCATTGTTTGATTCAATATCTATGAGGATGGGCACTGGGGCCCCTCAACTTTCAGACGCCATGCTGATGGCTCTGCCCAACCCTGGAACTCCTGTGAGTGGGTCACCCACAATGGTGGGGTAAACAAGCCCAAGGTGTCCCTGGCCTGGAAGAGGCCAACCCCCAATACAAAAAAACTGAGACAGCAAGGGAACTGAGCAATGTCAGGGTCAGTGTCGAAACCCTTCCTCCAGAGAACACTGTGACAACTACACCTTCTGCCTGCCTGCCACTCATACCCCTTAGTAGCTCCCTGCCATTGGCAAAATTCCCACTCCTGTCTTGCAGCTTCTCACAGGCCTCACCCCTCTGCTCTCACAGGTCTCCCCTACACAATTCCTCAAGTCTTTCCACCTAATTATTACATTGTCTGCCTTCCTGGATGTTTTTTTTTCCTTTTTTTTTTTGTATTTTCCTCCAATTTCATATTATCTTTAGATTAAAATGTAGTCTATCCCTGGATTCAAGTATACTGAAAGTGCCCTAATAATTTGTCACTTTTGGACAAATCAATAAGTCATGTGCTTAGGGTTACCTATAAACATATATAAAGCATACTTTATACACACAAATATATTAATGTTATTACAAAGCTTGTTCTTTAAATGAAACTGGAACTGCACAAATGCTGGGGTTGGGTAGACATGCAACTATCCATGGTCAGAGAAGACAAAAAAGACAGAAAAAAATGACACCACTGTTGTATGGTATTTTGACCAGTGGGCAACATGGAGAGACAGAAGCTGCATCTTCCTGAGCAGAAATCCCAACAGAGTCTAGAGGTTAGACTGTTGTCACCTGGCTTTTGATGATAGGTCTATTACTAGAGAACAATGTATGTTAGAGATGTTTTCACATGTACCCTAGCACTTGGTCTCCACAATAGCCAAGGACACTTAGGGCAAGAGTCAATAACCCAGAGCCCTTGGTCTCAGGTCCTCCTCTGAACTGCCCAAAATGATAGCATCATGGAGATAGTAGGCACCCTGCTGGTCCCTGACCCATCCACCTGCTAAGGCCAGAGCAGAGTGTCTGCACCATTACCATGCAGATATGGATGTTCTGGCTCAGAGAGCTCATGCTAAGTTCATATGTATGGTAGATGGCAACACTGGGCTCAGGACTTGTATGTCTGCTGAGAAGACTTCCATCTTCTCCAGGACAGTGTTGGGGCCTCTGGAAGGTGACTTCCAGAGGGAGGGGCGGAGGAAAGTAGACTGGGACCCCAGGCAAATGTAATCATCTCCAAAGTCACTGTTACAAGGCAGGGCCTCATGTCTTCTATGTTTGGGGTGGGTTTCAGGCTTGCAGCATCCTTATCCATCCAGGAGAGGGCTGACTACCCCTGCCCCCCACCCTGTTTTACAGGCAAGAGTCACAGAGGTTCAATGACGTGCTCTAAGTCATACAGCAAAGGCCTGGGCGAGATCGGTACCTTGTTTGTTGTTTTGTCAAGACAAGAGGAGGAAAGAACAAGAGGATGGGGGACGGAGTGGGAGACCAAAGCACTGACCTTGCCTGAGATGGTCTTGATTTGTTTGGAGCTCAAGGGTTCGAAGTCCACGCCAATGTAGCCCTCCATGGCTGCGAGAAGGTGCTTCCGGAGGCAACGGGACGAGTTGGCTTCTGTGTGCACCTGCTCCCACCAGGAGGGCTCGTACCAGCCTGGGATGATCCACTGGTATTTACTGCCATACATGTTCTCCTCGTATGCCTGCAACAGACAGGGGCATGGGTAGGCACCAAGAGACAGACATCTGCTCACGACTCGGTGCCCTATAATGAAGGCAGTTGGAGGTCAGGCTTCCTCTTCCCAGAGGCCGACTAATTCTTTCTTTCTTCTTCTTCTTCTTCTTTTTTTTTTTTTTAACCTGCTTGGTTTTCTCCTTGTCTCTGAAATGACCCAAAGTAGGTTACTGACAGCATGTATGATAGTTATAAACCCTGGATAAAAATTCAGATACTAGGGGTCTGGGAAAATGTAAGCCATAACTTGTGTACTACAAGTAAAAGCAAAATAGAGATGAACTGACTAAAGCTTTCATATTTCACCAGGAATTCCATGGCTGCCCAAAAGAAAAGGGCAATAAGATTATTTATATAGTTTGCATTATCGTTAATAAAACACACCAGGCATATGGGGAAGCAAAGTGTTTTCTAGTCTTTACATCTAAATAAACAAAAAGCCCCAGGAAATGATATTGTCAAATTAGCCATCCTGGCATCTACAGCAGCCTTATGCCAGATAGCTTTCATGATGCTAATCTTGTATGGCTCTTTTTAAAAAGCCCAGGTTATGCTTCAAGACCCAAGCCAGAGGAAGTGGTTTTCACAGGACCAATTTAAAGCATGAAATTATATATTCTGTCTCTTGGCAACACGAAAAGCTTTATCCTAAAGCACATTCAGATCATACAATACAAATCTGTACATGTCCCTTACATGGTATATGCTCTGCATACATTCTATTTTCTACAGTACTTATTTATTTATTATTGTAAAGTCAGATAGAGAGGAGGAGAGACAGAGAGGAAGATCTGTCCACTGACTCACTCCCCAAGTGACTGCAACAGCTGGAACTGAGCCGATCTGAAGCCAGGAACCTGGAGCTTCTTCTGGGTCTCCTACATAGGTGCAGGGTCCTAAGGCTTTGGGTAATCCTTGACTGCTTTCCCAGGCCACAAGAGGGAGTTGGATGGGAAGTGGGGCTGCCGGGATTAGAACTGGTGCCCATATGGGATCCTGGCAAATGCAAGGCAAGGACTTTAGTCACTAGGCTACTGTACCAGACCCCACAATTTCTATTTGTCATCCACATTTGCCCTGGCAGATGTTGAGGACAGGGTTAAATTCCTCAGTTTACAGACAAACAAATTCACAATCAGAGAGGCAAAAGGGCAACCTTTCCAGGTCATACATCCAGGAGGGAAAAACAGGTCTCAAAGCCAGGTCTGCCACCTCCAAGGCTGCAAAGCCTCACTGCCTGACTCCCAGCGCAAGAGAAAAGTCCTCAAAATGTCCCCATCACCTGTGTCTGGCTTTTCCTCTAACTGCAGTTATCTTACACTGGGCAAACGGTGCTTTCTGTCAGCTGAAGTGCACACAGGACTATCCTGTCTTTAGGGCACACTCTGGCCCACCAGCACTGAGCACACAACAGAATTCCCAGGAGCACATATATCCTTAGTAGGGGCCAGAAGGGTCAGAAGTGACTTTAGAGACTGGAGAAGGGTGGCAGGTCCTCTGGGCCACATTGGTCACATTTTGAAACCTGAACCAGAGCCAGCCCTTCAGCTAGGGAGTCACCCACATCAGAAGTACCTGCTGTGAAGAAACTCATGTCCCAGCACGTGGTGTTCCTTGGCCTAGAATGGACTCAGCAGGAAAGGCCAGGAGGATGTGGGGCAGACAGCAGCTGGAGAGACTGCTCTGGATTCTGGAAGCTTTTGGCTGCCCTCAATGTGGGTGCTGGAGCTCAAATCAGATTCTGAGCACAGAAATGGGGGCCAGGGTTGCTGGTAAGTTCTGGAGGAGAGTGCAGTGTTACTGTCAGGTCTAGGGACACAGAGGTGACAACAGGTGATTGCTCTACAGTTCCTCGACACCTGAGAAGGCCTGGCCTGCAGTGAGGAGCCTCTCACAGTTACAGGTGGAGTGGAAGGCACAAAGCCGCAAGCTGGAGGGTTTGTCCCTTGATGTAAGCCAGCTGCAGCTCCATGGCCTCCACCCATTGGTTCTGGGGCCTAAATAGATGATGTGGAATCAAAGAACCCTTCCAGTATCTGGAGGCAGGGAGCACAACCCCTTCCTCTGGACTCCCCTGATGCTATGGGACCTTCACCTCACTCATTCTGGATGTTATATTTCTTGCAATGCAGCCTCAGGTCAATCACCTCCCTAGCTGTATGATGTTGCCTCAATCAAAAACTGTCAGGGAAAAGCAGGGAAGAGCTTCATATTTCAACGATCTCACAAAATCTCTGTTGGACCAAAACACAAAGTCTCCTGAACTTTCCTTTATTGAATGGGATTAAGTCCTTAGAGGTGTCTTTGCAAAGAGAAGACAACGGCCGGTGCTGGCTGGGGACTACACTTCGGATCATCCTGGCAACTCCAATTCAGCTCATCAGTGTGACTTTACAAGTGTCGTCCTTTGGGGACCCTCATTAACCCTGAGTGGCCTGACCATTTCTAGATTCAGTGTACTCTTATGGCCACCCTGGGAGGCATGTGCTGCTATATCCATTCTCTGGATGAAAAAAGCTGGGTACAGGGACTGAGAAATTTGCCCATACATGGTACATCCGAGGAACCAGACTCAATACCTCCCTCCACCCCTTGTGTAAACTTCCCCTCTTTGCAAAGCAAAGCAACAGTTCTCTGGAAGCTTGTGGTTCATCATGAAGCATACATGAGCAGGCAGCTCAGAGCACAAAGTCAGACCAGCAGGGGACAGTTCCTGGCCAGCCAGCAGCACCTGGGCCGAGTCCCGCCTTGGAAACGAAGGGTCCAAAAAGTTGAAGCATAGTGTGCTTGAACAACAGCGACATTTTGTTTGGCACATTCACCAATTTTGACAAAGCTCAGTCTTTTTCTGGCAAAGTTCCTGACCTTCTGGGAACAGCAAAGAACACAGCCAGGCAGCCTAGCATCTCTGCCGCATGCCAGCTGGGTGGCTCTGACACACAGCTCCTGGGGCCAGGCCCATCTCCTCCAGAGGCAGGAGTGGAGCCTGCTTCTATGTGCCAGTTTGAGACTTGACTGAGCCAGTGTGTGCCTCATGCCTGGCAGAGCACCCTCACAGTCCCCTCATGCTCCCGTCTTCTACTCACGTGTGGTGCCTTCTTCAGGCACCGCCCAGGTCATGCATGATAACACTCTTGGGCCTGGAGGATATTGCTCCAGATGCCAGATGGCCCCAGCTGCTGGACTTGGAGGCTCAGAGCTGCTTTTTCATGGCTTTTTGAGTCTTTGCTAGCTCCCTGGTAGAGATTTCACTTTCCACTGTTTTCAAGTCCCTCACCATGCTCTGGCATTGCTATTTCTCAGCTGCTATGAGCTTAGAATGAGTGGCAGCTGCGTTGCTATGCATACGAGTCAAGCCAAAGTCAATGGGCTGTGAGTGTTTAAAGGTTCTCTTGCCTAGAGAGTGGGAGGGGCTCAGGTGCTGCACCTGTTGCTGAATACCCAAGTGTCTCTGGGCCACCAGGTAGTATTCACATGTTCAAAAGAGCCGCATGATAGGGCATGGGTGATCTAGGGATGGGCTGGAGCTTATTTGTCTCCTTTGCTGGATGGAGTTCTTGGAGGGCGGGACCCTGTCTGCTTTTCCCGAGGGTCTCCAGTGCAGGACTTGGCACAGAGGGTTCTTGATGAGCAGCTGAATGGCAGAGTGAACGCACTCTGCAGTTCACTAGCTTCTTGTGGTTTCTGATGCCTCTCGCCTCTGGTGGAAAATATGGTCTCAGACCCGTGACCACCAAGCAGGCCTTCCTGGGTGACAAGGGAGTGAACTGAGCTCGCTTTGTAGCCGGTCAAGCCAATTTGGTTCTTATTAGCTGCAGCCTATATGATGTAAATTTTTTTCTAAAAAATCCAATTTTCTCTCTTGATTAAGTTTCTTTTTGTTCCTCTCCTGCCCATGCAAGTAGAGCATATCCCTTCTGTCGGAATCTTCATTAACAATACCGGTAATAAACCCACACATCAGTGAAGCAGCCACCAGCCAGAGTGTAGGGGTGGGGGACACTCAACATTGGTCTCCTCAAGCCCCACAAGGCAGATAAGGCAATGCCCTCTGCATCCATCAGCTGGGACCAGAGATGGAAAAGGAACTGCCTGAGGTCACATAGCTGCCAGAGTGAAATCTAGAAGCCAGATCAGAGAGCTGGAGAATATGAGGACGAGAAGATGACTGCTCCCAGTGGGCTATAGCCTAAACAGGGCTATCAATAGGCTTTGCACTTGCTGGACTCTGCTCTCCCATGGGGTGCAATTCTAAGGTCAAGGTTATGGCAGTCCACCATGGGGCGTGCACTGCAGTACAAGCTTGTTTTCATCTGGTCTGTGCTGTGCCCCAAGGAGCCCCTCCCCATCCCTTGCCTGTCTCAGCCTAGCAGGAAGACATGAGCTATAAAGTCCACCAGGACAGACTGTATCTGAGGGTCCCACCAAAGCCCACGGGGACCTCTCCACCTCCACCCTCTGGGGAAAGCAGCTGCTTGGGAAGACAAACAGAAATGCCATCAGAAGCACAGGAGTTCAGCAAGGTGGAGAGAAAAGGGCGATGGAGAGGGATGCAGTCCCACACTGAGTGGATGACTGGCAGCTGGGGTTGGGGGTGCACAAGGAGGACAGCCCTGCCCAAGGTCCCCACCCACTGTCCTGACTCATCCCAGGGTGTAGCAAGGAGAGAAAGCCCATCAGGTCTGTGCGCAATTTTGCCAAAGGCAGATGGTCTGTGCCAGATGTGGCATCCCCAAGGATCACATTTTGTCACCTACTGCTCCTGGGGGAATTGGTTTGCTTCATTGGGTCAACATCTATCCCTGCTCTAGAAGAAATCAGATCTCTAACTTGGAATGCTGTCTTCCTGTTGCAAGTGGGCTGACTTGTGGCTGACATGGTGGTGCAGTTGGGTAAGCTGCTGTCTGTGATGCTGGCATCCCCTATCAATAAGAGCACTGGCTCAAGTCCCAGATGTACTTACAATTCAGCTCCCTAATAGTGTGCATCAGAAGATGACCTAAGTGCTTGGGTTCCCACCAGCCACATGGGGGACCCAGATGAAGTTCCTGGCTCTTAGCTTCTTCCTGTCCCAGTTCCAGCCATTGCAGCCATTAGGGGAGTGAATCAGAAGATAGAAAATCTTTTTTGTTTGTTTGTTTCTGTTTCTCCCTCTCTCTCCATCACTCTTAAAAAAATAATGAAATGGGGCCCGGCACTGTGGCCTAGCGGCTGAAGTCCTCGCCTTGAACGTGCTGGGATCCCATATGGGTGCTGGTTCTGGTCCCAGCAGCTCTACCTCCCACCCACCTCCTGTTTGTGGCCTGGGAAAGACAGTCGAGGACGGCCCAGGGCTTTGGGACCCTGCATCTATGTGGGAGACCCAGAAGAGGTTCCTGGCTCCTGGCTTCAGATTGGCACAGCACCGGCTGTTGTGCTCACTTGGGGAGTGAATCATCGGATGGAGGATCTTCCTCTCTGTCTCTCCTCCTCTCTGTATATCTGACTTTGTAATGAAAATAAAATAAATGTTTAAAACAAACAAACAAAATAATGAAATGGGCTCTTTCTGTATACCAGGTGCTGTGCAATGGGCATTTGCTCATGCAGTCTTTACCAACATCCCATGAGATAGGTACCCACTTTACAGAAGAGAAAATTGAGACACGGAGAATGTAAGCAGCATGTCTGACTTCAGTACTTAGGGGAGCAGGAAGTCAATGTTCAGCTGACTGACTCTCCAGTGCCAAGCCCCTTCCAGGGTCATCTGAAATATCAGCCTCATAGCTCCTCCCACCTCCTGGGAAAGTCAGAAGATGATTGGTTCTTTTCACCCAGTGGAGAGGCCTGGGGATGAATGACCCTACGTGATGTTGGCTTTGGTCATTCTCTGCCCTGGCTGCTGGTCCCTTTTAATTCCTGCATCTGTCTTAAGTCAGGGCACCAAGGGCGGGCAGGTTGCTCCACGTGGAGTCTCTCCCACTGGAAGCACCCTGGTGCAGAAGGGCAGTCCCAAGTTACCCTGGCTCTTGGCCAGCTGTACTTGCAGCAGTGACCTTGGTCACAATACACTGTGGGGACTCCCAACTGGCGTCCACAGACACTCCCCAAGTCCTCTCTGTTCTCACCTCAGCTGCACATCACTCACTTGGCAGCTTGATTTATTCTAATACACTCCTGCATTGGAACCATTAGATTTAATCTTCTTGGATCGAATCAAATGCTCCAAGCCATTAGGGTTCTTCGCACCCTTGCTGTGTCATCTAACATAGTTTACAACTTCTAGAATGCTTACAAGCCTGGCACATGTAATGTCATCCAAGTTACTATAAAAAGGTCAAGAACAGAGATGGGTAGCCCTTTGCTAGAGATGACATGGTCAAGAGTGTTAGTGTAATGGAAGCTTGTGGGATAGACAAAGGCTTGTGTAATCAGGGGAAGGGAAGGCATCAAATTAGAAAGGGTTAGCTTGTGCACTAGAGGCTTTATATGTAACTTACAGACTAACATCATTTGTGGGAAAATATCTTCTGGTTCTGTGCAGGGCATAGCTAGGCTGGGTGGCCTCAGCATGAACACACAGGGCTTGGATGAGGGGTTTTGGGAATCGGTGCCCTGGCTCCTTCTGAGATAGCAGTGCTCTGAACCCTGCTCCCAGAGGAGACAGGACGTGAGCACGAGCCTTGGGCGGCCCTGCCCATAGAGCTCTGCCATGGCCCATAAAGTCCACCGGTGCCCATAGCCACCCACCATGCTGTATACTTACGCAGCAGAACACTTTGGCCGCCATGTTCTGGTCGAACTGGCCCAGGATGATACGCACGTCATTCCCCTGTGGACAGAAGCACATGGATGAGGGCAGGGAGCCCACAGGCAGGGCTTCGGACAGTGGGTTGTGGGGCACTCCCAGGACAGGCAGGGTGGTCAGTCCACCCATGGCTGGAGGATGAACCTCAGCTCGCTGGGGTCTGTGAATCCCTCGGCTTGTCCAGCAGGCAGTCTGAGGTCACCCTGACCCTGAGGCCTCACTTTGTCATCTTCCTCACCTTACAGGCAGGGAAACTAAGGCCAGAGGAGGATAAAGGCTTAGCCCAGGTGTGCTGGGGGAGTTGGTGGTGGAGGCGAGACCCTCAGGCAACCATGATCCCCCTTTATTATATTCTAGATTTTTCTTTTGAACAGTCAACTCCTAGAGACACTTCCAGGGCTAGCAAAACTTCCCAGTAAAGAGGGCTTGGTGTCCCTCTGAGCTTCGTTTAAATCTCAGCTCCACTCACCAGGCCAACTCCCCTTTCCTTCTCAGTCTCTGCTTCCTTATCTGAAAAATGGGGACATTGGCAGCTGAAGAGCTAAGGAAGTGCCACCTACATATACATGGAGTGTTTCCTTGGTCATTTCAAGCTGACAGGCCCTTTGGACAGTCTCATCCCACACATAGTGCAAGGAGCTACAAATATCCCTGAAAGAGGGACATTCTTCTCTGCCAGGGCAAGGAAACAGCCCTGACCACCACAGCTTGGTGGCCGGGGCTGTGACAAGAGATGGTCAGTTTGCTGGAGTCACTCCCATCTGCCATGGGCCCCCTCAGCCCCTCACCCCACATTACTGTCTGCATGGCAGACCCTTCTGTTCTGTCATCTCTTTGCACTTGGACTACTCATCCTCTCAAATGCACAAACAAAAGCCTCCTGCTTTGGCCACTGCCCTGGATTCCAGGGTCTGATACCCAGCCCTGTGGCCATGGAAGATAAGAAAAAGTTGTTTGAGTCCTCTCTTGCCAGTCTGCCTTGTGGTCCTTTGGTTCCTAGACTGGGCCAGAGTGTTTGTCTGTGAATGGAGAAGGGAGAGGGAAGGCTTCCCCTCCCTGAGAGCAGTGCCCACCTGATGGTCCTGCTGGGGGCACCAAGCCAGTGAATCCTTGTGAGGGGCTCCACACATGGCCCAGGCACACAGCTGATGCCCAAGAAATGCCAGCTGCTGACAGTGGTGTGTGCCCTTCCCCCAGGCTAGCTTTATCTCCCAAGGAATATTCCTGATCTCAACGGGGTTAGGAGGTGTCTTCTGCTTGAAAGCCCCTATGATTCATTCAATAAACCTTTCCTAAACACCTGCCTGAAGCTCCCCTCCTGGATCATGCTAATGGGCCCCTGATTCTTTTCTGGGGGCTGGGCCTAGCTCCTAATGAAGAGCTGAGGATGCAGGAGAGTAAACATGGCAGCCCCACCTGTCCCCACCCCAGCCACTTCCTGCCCGCCGCAGTGAGACCCATCACTGCAGGTGGCTCTGCGCCCTCTCTCCCTACCGTTCATCTCTTCTGCCGGCCTGCAGCCTTCTGATGCTTCAAGCAGAGACACAAGCCTTGAAGACAGGTTTTTAGCATCTTTCTAAATTGGAAAGTGCTGACTGGGAGGCCATTTTCCTCATCATGTATTTTAGCAAAATAAAAAAGGCCTGGATGCTAAAATAACCCTTCGTTTGCAGGCAAGAATGGAAAGAGGGGGAAAAATCCCACAAAAAACAACCAACTATCCTTGCTTTGAAAGGACTTTAAAGAACGTTAACAGAGCAGGGGAAGGCGGGCGAGCCTTTGTCATCACCGCGTCTGCAATGCTATAAAAAGTTTCCAGCCGCTTCCGTCAACGGACTTGCTCCCAAGCACAGCTCCAAGTCTTTCTGCTCGTTCGCTGACATCTTTTAGTGTGTTTGGCTGCTTACAGTAGCCAGCCAGCCAACATCGATGAAGCATTTACTTTGTGCCAAGACCTGTGTTGCTAAACATGGTAGAGTGGACAGAGCCAATAGGATTTTGGAGTCCAAAAGATCTGTGTTCAGATCCCGACTCTACCGCTAACTAACTGACTGACTCCAAATTCTAAACGTCAGAAGCCTCAGTGTCCTTGTCTGGGAAATAGGACTGGTCCTGCTTGTCTCACAGGGTGGCTGCGGGATCCATCACCATGGAACCCGATTGGCTTCCATGCTGCTGCTTCCTCCTGGCTCCCCTTCCCACTCCAGGCCTCTCTGTGTCAGCTCCTTCTCTAACGGCAGTTGTTCTATACCCTTAGCTCTTTGCCTCCAACCCTCTCCCTGGACACTTTCATACATGATTCCTTCTACCATGGCCCTCTGGGTGCTGAGAACTCCCAGCATTGCTACAGCTACCCATCGGATGGCTCCAGTGGGATTTTCCCTAATACCTCCAACATGCCATGGCCCTTGCAGAACTCAGAGACTCCTTCCTGACAAGCTCTTTCTTGAAGGTGTTGCCAGCTCTGCAGATGGCATTGACAACTTCCCACCCACCCGAGAACCTGGACAGTCAACTGGGAATCACTCCTTTACTTCCCTCGTCTGAGCAACCACCAGCGCCCGCAGGTTCTGCCTGTTCTCAGCCCCATTGTCCTGGGATCGCCACCCACCCAGGTCCAGCCCATCCACCCCAATCTCTGCAGAGGAGAAGAAGCAATCACCCCAAGGATTAAATCGGATCTCGTGGAATCTTTCCATGCTCCTTGCAGTACTTAGATCCAACTCTGAGCTCTTTGTAGAACATTCCAGATTCCTCACCAAGTAATTCCCACTCTTATTCATCACATTTCTCACCCCCTCTGTGGCAGGGGAAAATTACATGAGGTTTCTTCACACGGGTCTGCTATTCATGCATGCATTCATTCATCTCCAGCTTCACTTTTTTATCTTTCCCCATCATTCCTCCTCTCCCCACAGGCTTCTCAGTCAGCCCAGAGGCAGGTGCTGTTCCAGACAGCTTCCACCCACTCTCTTTACTGCAGCTCAGATCCCCCATCCCCCAACCTGAGAAGCCACCTCTAGGTCCCATTAGACCTGGTAGTCACTTCCTCCCACTGTGAACCCAGGACATTCTGCATATCCCTTCATCCTAGCACAAGTCTTTGTACTAGTCTGTCTTCCTCAGTGGATCGGGGCTAGCGGGAGGTCTCCAGCTTGAGAACAGGGAATGACTCCTATCTAGATGTACACTGAATACGTGATGGAGAGATGAACGCTGTGTTCATCCCAGTGGATTACCTGGCCCACACTGCTTTGATGCCTCTGCCAGTTCACATCCTAACCACACCCATCTCCTGCAGGCCCTAGGGCCTAGCACTGATTGGGATGGCCATGTCCATTTCTCCACCAGACAGAGGGACCACGGCTGACCGCCTGACCACCTGCTGACAGATAAATAACCAGCTCTGCTACTTGTAGACCATTAGTGTTTCTGTTGTCATGACAACGGCACGGCAAGGACCACTTGGTTCTGTGCTCCCAAACTGCTAGGCTTGGATGGGGCCAAAGGAGCACCCATCTAGTTAGTCCCTTTCCAGAGAGGCAGAAGACCTTCCATAGGCAGCATAGCATCCCAGAGCCGGAGCTCCTTCCTTTGTGCCCCCTTACTATCGGAGCACCCCAGAGAGGGTGCCTAGGCATGCCTGATGTGAGGTTCTATGCATACCCAGGAGGGTTACTGAGCAGGATGCTGCAAAGCTTGGGAGGCAGAGGAGGAAGCAGCCCTGGCACATCTGGAGCCTAAAATCCTAGGATGGGGAGACTAAAGGACCTGCATCTGGGCTGGGTCCCTTGTGGGGGCACCTTGACGGTTTGGGGTGCTTTTCCAACTGGGGTATATGTGCATCCCAGGGCAAGGGGTGGTATCCTAATGGAGCAAAAGGCACAGAAATACCCAGGTCCTCTTTATGGTGGAGCACCTTACTGCCAAACTTGAGGCTTTGATTGGGGAATCAATTTTTTTTTCCTTTATGTTCATGCTCTTGTCCTTTTCAATGTAGCCTAGGTCCTTTTCCAAAAGTGCAGAAAGTATCACAAGAAACTGTGGGTTGGTGGTGTTCCACTACCTGACACAGCCCCAATCCTGACTCTTTCAGGGATGTGAGCACCCCTGGGATGGACAAGGAATGCTGTGGGGTGTATGCGTGGGTTGGGGAGGGGGAGCAGGGCTAGGAACCTGTTGAGGATCAGAGTGGTGGACCAGTTTTGCCACTAGAGAATGGGAATGTGGCAGAGGGTGGGCTCCAGAAAATCCTGTGCCCTTCCTTGGACTTGTCTCTGCAGGAGGGACTGCCAAGAGTGACAGCCTATGACCTGGGCCAGGATAAGGCTGGACAAGCACCAGCCTCCTTCCAGATGGTGCACACTGGAGGTATGGACTGCACAGGGAGACTTATGTTCACACTCTTGAGGGAGTCTCTTCCACAGGGAGGGGGCCAAAGTACTAGGAAAGAGCCTGCGAGGGGAGAGCAGGCAGGCATGCTTCCCCCTCAAAGCCAAACTCTCCACAGTCACAACAGGATGTGGGAGGCAGAAGAGCCACCGAATCCGCTCTGGAGAGGAGTCTAAAGTCACCCCAGCCGGGGGCAGATGTCCTTTCCCTCTTGTAGATCTCTTTTCAACCATTGTCTAGAACTGAGACCCTACAAGGGAGCTAACCTCAAACAGGGACATACACAGGCATGTGCGCGCGCGCGCGCGCACACACACACACACACACACACACACACGGAAGGAGGACCAATCTTTGTGTCACTCCCCAGTGTGCAGGGATTCCTAACCCAGTAAAGCTACAGAACAGAAGTCTTGGACTCTGCGGAGCTGCTGTGCTAGGAGGTATGTGTGGTGATGGTGACACCTACGTGGGACACTCTGATGTGCCAACAGAGGCCCAAAGAGCTGAATGGATTACCCAGGTGCAGTAGATGTCATGGGTCCCCTCCCTGGGGCCGGTGCATCGATGCCTGCCACCATGAGGGTGGGCTGTTGGCTGCTCCCTTGCTTCTCTGGGAGATATCTTCAGCT